CTCATCATTGCAACGACAGGCAAATATAAACAGTCAAAACCAGAACTTACTTTGCAGGACGAATGGCCTTCTGGACCTCCTCACTCTTGATGATTCTGTTCAGATCTGTGATGCTCATTTTGTGCATGGGCAGGCTGGAAGATAGCATTGCAGTAAATTCTCTAAATCATACTTCATCTACAAAATGATGCATTTCTATGTTTGTGTAAGTGGCTTTCCAGAAAACCATGTTGACTCAGAACTTCTAATAAAATCAAGGTGTTCATAAACACGGACCAGAAGTAAGCTCATCATTGTTGTTCAATTTACCCAAGAATACCATGAGAACTTTAAAGAGTTGGGGAACTTACTTGTAGTCCACTTTAAGGGTGGAAGCTTTGCGCCAAGTGCCGTAGAGGTCATCCAGTTTGCGGAAAGCACCCTCTGTCCAAATGCAGAAACGTCCAATGTGACCACCTGGAGCGAGTTTCAACAGGTCCAGTCTGCTTACGGACTGCAGTGTGATGCCTGACAAGAAACTTTGCAGTTAAATATTGGAACCACCGAGCACAACAAAACACTGTTCCATTGTGTGGTCAGAACTTCCACTAAAATCATAGGACTCATAAACACGGACCAGAAGTGGAGATCATCATGTAGAAAATGCGTTCATATAGATCACAGTAAAATAGATGACTGCTTTACATACCAGGGATATTTCTGAAAGCTCGTGTCACTCCGTTGTCTTCGTTATAGATGATGCATGGTCCCTTACGCTGGATACGCCTTCGGTTCCTCATCTTACCCTTACCGGCACGCATACGCTGAGAGGCATAAACCTGAAGGCCAGAAACAAAGATTGAAACAGAGTTAACGCTGTAAATAGTTTTTTAGTCAATAAATTTTTTAATCAATAGGCAGTATGTTTCACCTTTTTAATGTCGTTCCATGCCTTTAGCTTCTTCAACAGAAGCACGGCTTCCTTGGTCTTCTTGTATCCTTCAACTTTATCATCAACAACAAGTGGGACCTCAGGAATCTCCTCAATGCGGTGACCTGAAAAATGTGGCATGTCTCAAATCGATTGAAAATAAAAAAAACAAGACCACCTTTAAGTGTGGCAGTTTCTCTAAGTCTGTTCTCAGCCTTCGAAAGGGAATAACCAATAGTTTGATTTGGCCCTTCTGCAAACTGAGGTTTCTCTTGCACTGATTTAAGAGCAGAATGCCATTAGGTGGCAACCCACATATTACACACAGTGCATGCAGGCACTGCCATTATACTAGACCCCAAAAAGATTAACAAATTAAAAAAATGACAACATGAAACTCTGGACACAATGCTCACTCACCTTTGGCCATGACAAGGGATGGCAGAGCAGAAGCAGCCAGGGCAGAGCACATGGCATAACGCTTCTGGTTAACATTGACCCTGCGGTGCCAACGACGCCAGGTCTTTGTGGGAGCAAACATGCGTCCACCACGACACATCTACAGTGGAGTTAAGGCTTAACATTTTACAACTAATGCCTGTTCACACCAACACAAGTATACAGCAGAAAAGTTTGGTGCAATTATTCATTTTAAATTTAATGAACTGCTTTAAATGCATTATCAGAGATATCTGCATGGTATCAATGCAACTTCTCAGAGCTGTTCTAATCTGTTTCACCACACCATGGAAAAACAACATTCAATATTTGGTCAAATGCCTTAAAGCTGTTGCTATCACATGCCCTGTTTACAGCTGGTGTTAAGCATTTTCATCTTATAACTTGACAATACTAAGAAAAATATGAAGTCTAAAATGATTTGAGCTTTTATGTACAGCATATTATCAAAACAAGCAGCAAGGGTGCACACAAAACTAGAACAAGTGACTGTAAGAGATCTGTGGTGTAAAGTAATAAATTACACAAACACAAATTACTATTATTGATCAGTTCCTCAGGAATTGTAATTTAGCAAGTAATTTTAAAAATGTGTACTTTTACTTTCCCTTGAGTAGATTTTTAGTACAGAATTGGTACTTCTTCACCATGCAGTCACTACTTTATTATTTCCTGCCTATGGGGATTAGAAAAATCATTCCTGCGATTCCTGTGCAATCAAATCACACATAGAAAGTAAAATAAAATGAAGAAATAAAAAAATAATAATTTGCATCATACTGAACTACTTGATATGTTGCAAACTGCTTAGAAGCATTAAGTGTTCAAAAAGACACGTTACACGCAATGACCCAGTGAGTGTTTAGATGGAATGTCGATGAGAGGAAGAATATTTACTGTATGATGATCGAAATGGCCTTAAACAATAACTATACACTACAGAATGTTACGTTTACACACACACACAAATTACATACAAGCGCATCAACCTTTCTCAGCGTAAGACTCACTATTCTTGACTCATACTTTGAGTAATATTTACAACAGATACTTTTACACTACATTTTTGGGCAAGTAATGGTACTCAAGTATGGCTTTTTGGTACTCTACCATTTCAAGAGATGCACATTGAAATCAAAATAGAATTGCATTTCAGCAAACCACTTATCCAGAATCAGCGCTTGACTGAGTTCTTTAATAAACACCACAGGTAATACAAATATCTAAATGCCATTTTTTGGGAAGGAAAAAAAAAAAAAAATTGTACACTATTTGACTGAGTTGTCTACAAGTATGCAACAAGAGAAAAAAAAGCAGAATTGTTTGTATTAAAGTGAATGCAACTGTAAACAAACTAGTAACAGTTGAAACTATATCTGCTGCAATTCATATCCTCTCAAAAAAAAAATCTAATAGAATTTTTGTGTTGGTGTGAGCACAGGCCTTGAAAACTTCAAAGACGCATCCATACATTAACCTGCTCAGACTCAATGATCGTCAACCTTCCACACCAGCATAAGACAGCAGGCAACTGTCGCTGTGCGTAGAGTAGGACGCAAATTACACCATCACAGCAAGTGTTGCTCAAGTCAAATTTAGTTATTTGAGGATACATTTCCGAAAGCACCCTGGCCGGAGCGATGAGTACCACCACCACGCACACGGGGGATACGGGCAACAGCTCTTCCTGTGCCCCAGGACTCAGCGCTGGTCTGGTGACCTGAAACAACAAATTTGATAAAGTTATACATGCTCACGACCTTCCATAAGCAGATATTTCAAACAGACCAAGGCTCTCAGAACTTCCAGCATAATCAGTTGTCAGAAACACGGACCTGAAGTGGAATATCATCACTGGAGCGATGTTGCAAATAATGTGGATTAAAAACACTCACCGGCCAGTTCGCTGACAGCATAGGGCTGGCGCTTGTTCTTGCGCATGTTGGTGTGCACAAAGTTCACAATATCAGGGCGGATGGGAGCCCTGAACACTGCTGGCATAACCACATTTTTTCCAGATGTCTCCCCTTTCTCGGAGTAGACCGAGATTAACGGTCGGGCACAAGCCTGTAACACAATTTAAAAGATATGAACAACATATCTAACATTTAAAGGTTTAAGCTAAACTTGGAATCTTGCTCAGACTTTGTTGTCATCAACCTTCTGTGCCAGCATGAGACAGCAGGCAACTGTCACTGAACACAGAGTAGGACGCAAATTACACCATCATAGCAAGAGTAACATCTTAAATTGAATAAAAATTGAGGCAAGGTTGGTTTTACATTCACACATTCAGACTTTGTCCCTAATAATATAATTTTTATATTTTGCAAATTCTAAATAAAAAAATCATATTAACAGAAAAAAATACATTGTTCACAATTAAATAGTGTTAATGTTGTTTTGAAGTCCTACTTGCATGGCATTTCTGACAGAATAATCAAAGTAGCATGGTAAACAATACATGGATCGTATCACAAGTTGTCATTGAACATATGAACGTATATTCAACCAACTTTACCTCAATAAGTTTTTTCAAAGCAGATAGACACCTGCTGTTAAATGAAGCGATGGTTCACCAACTGTGCCTAAGTTAACTTACATTTAGTTTTTAATGAGGCTACGTTATGGCTGTTAAACCTGCGGTATAACAGCTTTCTTAATGAGCCAAATAAATGACTAATTTACAACTTGTCTTTCTAAATTAATCAATCATCATCACATACAATTTCAAGTGTGTGAGCTGGACTCGCAGCCTAACTTAGGCCACAACATGCCTACATATTTCCGACAATGTTCCAGTGTATTCTGAATGATGCTGGATTCGATGAAGGCCACACAGCAAATTTCTAAACTAAATAAAAACACATTAATAGTGCACTCTAATTTCGTGGTAATAACCATAATAAGGATACATCTGCCAAAATCATGCCTACACGTGTATACACGCAGCATTGGTTCAAAATGGCTCCTGGGAGCCGCGGTAGTGCGAGCCTACTAGCTAACGTGTGACAATTCATCCAAAAACACAGCAACTTTATGCATACGTGCACATAAAACAACTAAATGAAGATACTTTACTAAAAACGCGAATAAGTCGGTGGGTTAATTGTCCATTTTGCTCACCATTATTGTAAGTTTTCACGGCTCGCCAGGAACCACGCTCCTAACTCGATGGCGGCCACGGAAGAAAAGGAAGAATGAAGCACTCCACCGGCACTTGCAGATCCATCCGACATATGTCACTTCCGCCCAAGTCTGCGTTTTCATTTCAGTTAAGCTTCTTTTATAAAGATGACCTGGATATAATTATGTGGTTATTTTTTTAAATGATTTGCTATTTTATTTGGTATAAACTGCAATAAGATAAGTGTTTTAAAATAATACATTTTGAAGTGTGTGTGTTGGCACTATATGATTAGAGGAAGCAGGCGGGTGGGGAACTACTTTCAGTAATTAATTACAATATTTGTAAATGTTTGGATTTTTTAGTTTTTCATTAGTTAAATCACAAAAATGATACTGAACAAAAAAAATAAAGAAAGAAAATGTCTAAAGATATTTTTTCTTTCAAAGTGGGAGTGGCACAAGTACGTTTGCGTCGTGACGCTTTTGACGTGCATTTGCCGCGCTGTAATCAAAGTTTTCTGTCGTCTTGGCGTTTCAACAAGTACAATTTGCTACTAGAATTCTGTCAATCGAAGGCAATGGGATCCAAAATAGTTTCGGACGCCAACGCTTTTGTTAAATTTCTGAAGTAAGTACTTGTCCATTGACTGAACTTGAATGTTAGTCGACAGATCTGCCATGTTTTGTTACGTGCATCAAATGTAATATGCACTGTTTACCATTTCTCTCTGTCTGTTTTAGGTTATGCCAAGATGAAAGTAAAGACAACTGCACGTATATGGTAAAACGCATGTGATATAAACGAATAGACAAATTGGTGTTGAAAAGTATTTATGGATGTATTGGTTTTTAATTTTAGGATGACGTTTCAGTGCTGCTTGTGAAGAAGGAACAGCTTTTGCACGACATAATCGGTGAAAAAAATCAGCCCATCTTCATCTGCGAGAAAGCAGTAAGTGAACATATAATGGTCCCCATGTAAATATTATGAGCTATTATTTTTCACATTTTACATCACTTAATGTAAACACGGTGGCTCAGTGGTTAGCACTGTCGTCTCACAGCAAGAAGGTCGCCGGTTCGAGCCCTGACTGGGTCAGTTGGCATCTCTGTGTAGAATTTGCATGTTTTCCCTGTGTTCACGTGGGTTTCCTCCAGGTGCTCTTGTTTCCCACACAGTCCAAAGACATGTGCTATAGGTGAATTGAATAAACTAAATTGGCTGTAGTGTGTGTGTGTGTGTGTGTGTGTGTGTGTGTGTGTGTGTGTGTGTGTGTGTGTGTGAGTGAGTGTCCAAGTACTGGGTTGCAGCTGGAATGGCATCCGCTGTGTAAAACATATGATGGATAAGTTGGCAGTTCATTGTGCTGTGTTGACCCCTGATGAATGAAAGGACTAAGCTTAAGGAAATTGAATGAATGACTAAATATTTGTTTGTTATTCATAATAAGCAAACCAAGTATGAACCCGAAGCTACAGAAACGTCAGCAGACACCAGTGATGTTGAAGACGTTCTCTTTAAAGTGGAGCAGGATCCGGGGCCACAGCCTCTCTCCATCATGAAAGCAAGGTGCAAAGCGTGTAGTGTCTATTACTATACTGCATTTATAATTTAAATCAAATGAACATTGTGTTTATATATAATGATAACTTGCCATCTTCAACCAGACAACTGTTGTCATGGTACACCATGGCTCATAACCCCAACATGAGCCGACTGAAAGCCCCAGAGAATCTGCACCCTCTCTGGGTTCGTTGTGACAAGTCGGACCCATGTGCCACTGCCTGGCTTGGAGTAGAAATCACCTACAGTGGGAACAAAACCAGTGGTGTCAAATTGTACACGGTCTGCTGCAAAGGTAACTCTTTTGTTATTTATACATTACTTAACCATTTTTAATCCTCACATTTCACTAGACATGATAATATTTAAATGATGTGTCATTGGTAGGGCCAGACGGAATCTGCGGATGTTCTTTTGCTGTTTCTGCTGAGAATTTTAGTAAAAATCTGCGGATTTATGCTGAATTATTTTGGGAGTATCATAACTAAAACCTTAAAGATATGAAATAAAAAATTATATCTTTTTAACTTTTGTTTAATGTTTGAAATGCAAATCCAATTAGATTCACTTTATTTGGTAAACAAAACCACGACGAATGAAGTTCTGCACAAGACTTTTGGCCAGCGGAGAAATTAAAATGGTCGTGCCCAACTGAGTCTGGTTCTCTCAAGGTTTTTTTTCTTCACTCCCATCAGGTGAAGTTTTTTTTCCCGCTCCGCTGTCGCCACTGCCTTGCATGGTTCAGGATTGGTAGAGCTACGCATCGATGAATTGGCTCTTCACTGTTTGAACTCTCAGTAATGATTAAATCACACTGAACTGAGCTAAACTGAACTGAACTGAACTTAAACACTAAAACCTGAACCACACTGTTCCAGTTACTGAACCACACTGTTCCAGTTACTATGACCATTTATGTGAAGCTGCTTTGACACAATCTACATTGTAAAAGCGCTATACAAATAAAGCTGAATTGAATTGAGTTGAACAAAGCAAGTCTCTCATATAATATATCTACTCAAAGACAGAAAACTTCACTGTACAAACTGCCTTGTACAAAAATCAGATTACCATTTTCATATAAGTCAATAATATTACTGTAATTAATTGAAAAATTGAATAAATATGGATTTACTCACATTTACTCAAGCAAATAAACAAAATTAATGATTGGCTAAAAATCTGCGGAATTCTGCACGTGCAGATTCCGTGTGGGCCTAATGGTAAATAAGAATTCACTTGTAGAATTCTTAATGAAAATTGTGTGAAAATAAAAACTGTTTAGTTGTATTTTGAGGATATTCTTGTACATTATATTTTTCTATACAACATTGACAGGAATACTAAAAAATAAGACATAAAATACACTGTTAAAATTGTTATTTTATTGAAATGTACATCATAATTTTATATATGTAAGTGTAATTATGTTAAACAGCAGTATTGTTACATTTGAATTTGGGCTGCACGATATTGGAAAATTGACATTGCAATATTTTGTTTTTCTGCGGTATGAAAACTATTTCACCAGATGACTTCAAAATCTTTTTTTTGTGTAAAAATAAACATTCACTTAGATTAATTTGGGTTGATTTTGTAAGGGGGTGAATTATGTCTAAAATAATAAACAAATTGCTAGCAAGAATAATTACAATAGAGCAAAAAAAAGTAAAATATTTTATTTTTAATGTTTTTTTTTGGAGGAGTCAAACAGTATTCGGATACAGAAATTGAATAATAAAATGTAAAATAAAACTGTGTAGTCTTTAATGTATTAATAATTCAGGAAACTTATTCTTCATTAAAATTACAAATGATTTACGTTAATTCCCGAATGCATTACACTCTTTTGCAAAGCCTTTAAAACACTTGCAGTTTCACTCTGTCATGGTTATACTTTACAATGACTCCAAAAATCTCATGTATTCTCAATTGTTGATCAACTATAATCCCAACTCATCAGATCCTGTGATGTGACTATTGCAGAGATACGCATTGCAATATCGATGCTGAAACGATATATTGTGCAGCCCTTATTTAAGTCTTTAATTTAAGAGCAATATTTAATATTTACTGTAACTTTGCTTTGCACTGCACTGTATTTTTCTACCAGTCACTATTATTGCCATCAAAATGTTTACTCATTCAAACACCACACTCAACACATAAATAAATAATTGTGAATACATATAATAATACTATACATTTTGAAGATATCTTTGTTCTATTTTTATGTTAGCATAGTTTACTCATTTGTTTTGAAGTTTTGATGAAGCCATCATCTTTTCAGTATGTAAACAACCAAGTGATACTTGCCATATTTGATTGACACTCTTTATTTTTTCAATATTTGCAGAAAATGGACTAAAACACCTCTTCATAACTTTTTTTTTAAAAAGTTTTTTTAGATGCAAAACTTATTTTAGTCACAATTAAGATGGATAGGATTAAATAAGGATCAAATCTAGTAATGTAATTCATCTTTGTTAAGATAAATAACTCCTTATTTCCCGATGTCCTGCAGGTCCAACAGGAGATGAAACTGCGTTCACCACTTTGGATGAGCTTAAGCAAGAGCATCAGAACAGACACCATACTTCTGCAGTATGATATGTTCTTTTCTGTCATTTAGCTCCTATAGGTTTTTTAGTATGTGATATTTATTAAGTATTATATATATCTTTTCAGGTATCAACCAAAGGCTATGCACAGTACAACCTGTTTTGCTCTTTAACAGAGGAGAGCTTGATGTTTGAGTCTCAGAGCAGTGTAATCGCAAGCCTCACATGGAACCATGTGGAGAAAATGTTGGAGTGTCCACCATTGTCTTCTAAAGCAACTCTGGTTCAGTTATTTGCCTTTAACAATTTTGGCATAATTAATCTGTTCATTAAATGGGTTATGTATTTGTTTCTTTTATTATTGCTTTTTGCAGAATATCAAAGTTGCAGTTGGAGACATAAGAAGTCCATTGTATCAGACCTACAGAGAGATGGAGTTCCTCCTGGTAAGTGAAAACTATACTGTTTGAATGTAAAAGGATATTACAGAAGTGTTATTTTCTTTTGTATACTATTATGATATCTGTTAATAGTTAAGTTAAGGCTGCGTCCATATTTGCCTGCTACTTAAGTAGGTACTACATTTGGATTTGGATTTGAATTTACTACTTGACCGTTAGAAAAGTAAGTTCTTTACAGAATGAATGTGAGTAGTATGAATGAAGCTCAGACTTGCTAAAATCCATCATTTGTCATTATCACGTGACCTACACTCAGCAGTTGTGTCGCTTCACTCTCATTCATGAATTCTCTTGTATGGCATCATGGGATAGCTTCGCATTTATTGGTACTTCTTGCATACTGTTTTTCGAATTCTGTGAATTAGGACATACTATTCCGCTTGCATACTGTTTTTACTTGCTATAGAGCAGGGGTGCCCCAACTCCGTCCTTGTGGGCCGGTGTCCAGCATAGCTTAGCTCCAACTTACTGCAACACACCTGCCTGGAAGATTTTAATACACATAGAAATAGCTGGATTAGCCGGTTCAGTTGTGTCTAATTGTGTTTGCAACTAAACTTTGCAGGTTACCAGCCCTTCAGGACTGAGTTTGGGCACCCCTGCTATAGAGTATAGAAATATGCGATTTCGGACACAGCATATTTCTTTTTAAATATTTCTGTTTAGCTTTAGTGTTATTCTGATTATTTTGATACTTTAGCAATAAAGTAACAATAACAATAATGACTTAAACATAAAGTTTGTCTTCTAATAAATAGATTTGAATATTTCTTTTTATTTTGGATTGGAAAGACAAACTAGTTTTTGTTAGTTTGGCCCAACTGATTATGAACTTTTATTTTGTCAATAAAATTTTAGTGAAACATAGACAAGATCATATTTTAGTGTATCATCAGTGATTTCTTCATGAATAAAAAAATGTTATATGCAAGTGTTGAATGTTTCAAATAGCTTGGGGAAAAAAAATTAAACATGGATGACAATGATGATGATGCTTTATCATTCAGCATATATGTTTATTGTGTAAAACATTCTTATTCTGACCAGTATGTATTAAAATATTAAAAAGAATAAAGGATCATACTAAATGTTCATTATATTTTAAATGATTTAGTATTTTTTGTTGACATGTATATAAAACATGTATAGTGGCAGTGTGTAAACATTTAAAATGATAATCAATTAGTATTTTGGGGCTGCACTGTGATCCTTTAAAGCGGTAAGTAATCCAAAAATGAAAATTCTGTACTTTACTCCACTTGTCCCAATTCTGTTTGAGTTTCTTTTTTTAAACACAAAGGAAAGTATACTTTAAAATTTTGGGAAAACAGCAATTGGCATTCATTGTATTTTTTTGTCCATATAGATTGTAGGTCTCAAACTCAGTTCCAGGAGGTGTGCAGCTCTGCACAGTTTTGCTCCTACCCTATTCTAAAACAGCTGATGCATCTAATCAACATGTTCAAGACTCTTCTGAACACCTCGATTATTTGGATCAAGTGTGTTTGATTAGAGTTGGAGCAAAACTGCAGAGCTGAACCATTTGATTGTGAGCAAATGGTGAGGATTCATTAATTAAATACACTGAATATTTGGTTGAGCTTTCCCTTTAAATACATGTCATCAAAAACATTTTTTTTTGCTATTTTTGCTCAGATTCTTTTTATATGAATACAATTTATTTACCCTGAAGTAGATTTTAGTAAATGTCTCCTGTAAATCCTGATAAAAAAAAAAAAAAACTAATTACTTTGCTGCAAAAAAAACAACAACATTAAACAAGATTTAAGAATCTAACATATAGGGGAAACATTACACTTATGATTTTGATGCTTAAAAACCTTTTTAATTCGTTTGAAGCCACATGTATATAATTAAAAATTTTTTACTAGTATTAAATTGTTTTTGTTTTAAAACATTTAACTAGGCTCTGGCAGGCGGTTTGCGAACAGGAGAAATCGAATGGTTGGAACCAGTGGAGACTCAATCTGCAGTGGACCTGACCAGAGCACTGATAGAGGGTATACAGCAGCTCTAGAGATTACATGAGATGGCTTTATCATTATATGTTTACTAAGCACAGCTACATTAAAGAAAGAAACAGCAATTAAATCACTTTTTTTAAAACTTTTGCTTAAAATCTCCATTCACACCCAGCTGACTTACTCAAATAAATTCCAACACACTATAACATTCTGTTTATTATAAGTGCCACTTTGTTTGTTGCTACTTTAAAGCTCTTTATAGTCTGGTGTCTGTGTTATTATTTTTCACTTTACTCATTAGATTTAAGATTACAATAATATTGTTACACTGGGTCGTTATTGTTATAGTTGGTATGCGAATAACTGTTCTGCTGTTTGATTTTTGAAAACGACTACTACTGTAGTTATCATTATGGTTATTGTCCTTGCTGTGAAATGGCTTTATAAGTATACTGTGTAAATTGAGGAAAATTTGGTGTTTTTGTATTTAATGTAAGTTTAAGTAATTTTTCCTGATTTTAGAGCTTGAGAACCTTGCGCATGGAGTGCCAGGACATTCTGCCAAAGCTTCTGAGGTAAATCAATAGTAAAATATAATATCGGAAGCTCTAGTTCTCATTTACTTTCATTAGATTTAAGTATATACACAACAGTTTTTGTCCACAACATACAATAATCTTTTTGTGTCATCCACTGAAGAAAGAACATCATGTATTTTGAATTCAGAATAACATTAGGGAGTGAATTCATCAACTGGTGAATTTTTCCCCTTAATCTTTTATAACAGAAGCAGAAAGCTAAACCAGATGCTGCCTTTAGTTCAATGGTAATTGAGAGAGGAGACCTTGACTTTACAGAACAACTGTGGGAGAAGATGAGAAAGAGTAAAAGAGCTTTTTTATTATTATTATTCATTTTAACTTCCTCACTAAAATACACCAAAACTATTTCTTTCTAACTGTGGATGTTTTGTTTTCTCATAGGTGTAACTTCGTATCAAGACATAACAGAATGCATGAAAATTGTTGTCAAAGCAGTGAAACTTGGCAAAATCAAACCATGGGTGCATATCTTAATTAAAAAAAAAATCTTATTCTTAATAATTATTTCAAAATGATGTGTAATGCGGGTATTTCTCTTCCTCAGATTCATAAAGACAGCAATAGCACTCTCAGCAAGTTGATCCTGCAGTCGTACCAGCAGCAGATTGACAGCGTTCCTCTCACTGGTCTCGCACCCGCTAATATGCTGCTAGAATTGGGCCTGGACAAGATCAGGAAAGACTTCATCAACTACCTTGTTGGTACATTGATTTTTGATTCATTGTTTATTTTGTAATCAGATTTTTGGCATACTTTGATATAGTTATTCGCTTAGAGATGCTTAGAACTATTTGCAGACTTGTTCACACGCTGTCAGTACAACTCCAATTTTTTGTGCATCAGATTGCAATCTGGATCAAATTTATGGGTTCTGTCATGCTCTTTCTTTTTTTTTAATATCTGCATCACACCAGAATTCAACAACAAATCATTGATAAAGTATAAATCCTGGTATATATTTAAAGAGTAGGCATAAAGGATCGGGTGATATTCCTATTACAATAATATGTTTTTGCTCCATTTTATCCTCTGTTTACTGCTATTTCATTCTGTGGTAATGGCATTGGGTTGGAGTTTTTGTACTAAAAATAACACGCATAAACAAAGCTGCCATGCTGTAGATTTTTAGAAATCCCTTCACTAGAACACCTTCTTGATTTTCTACAAACAGCGTGTGACTTTATTTTTTTTACATGGTGTCAAAAATAGATGGAAACTAATTTTCAGAAATGTGATTTTAATGACATTTAAAACAACGTGAATATAGTTTGAAACAAATTTGTGATTTAGAATCTGATTTTATGTATATATTTTTCCAGTTCACACTTGATAAATATCAGATTCTATTCGTATATGCAGAAAAATTGGATTTGGACTGACAGTCTAAAGGCTTATGAGAAGCTGATTGAAGACTTGATTATGTGTTTATTCTTTTTTCAGGGAAGGAACTTACAACTCTCAACTATTTGGTAGGAATTTTGACAAATGTGGCCATTAATACAAAATTCTTTCATGAAACTGTATTGCATGATTGTCACGTTGCAACAAAAATTGCCTAATGGCCAGCCAAAACTAGCCCAAAAATTTGACCAGGAGCCAATGAAAATAGTCCAATAATATAAAACCTATTTGTAATATACATATTTTACATCACTGTATGCATTATGGATAGTTTCTTGTTTGAAAATAGATGTATATCAGTAATTTTAAAAATTCTGATATCATCTACATCTGGCATGGTGTCTGTCATGTGACTGTCGTGACCTCAAACTTGTGAAATTAATTTTAAGTTAAAGATACTTTAAAAATCTAGATTTCAATCAATTTAGATTAAGATAATTGATATATATTTACTTTGCCGTTAATATTTGACAACAATCCTGGAGAATTTTGCCAATTTGTCACCATAGAAATGGAAATAGTTGATGTTGCCTCATTAGCCAGTGAGCTTGCTCTTCACCACAACATTTAACTGCCTTAGTGCTGTTGGTGGTACAAATTAGCAGCATGTTTTGTGAGACCCTCATTTACCCCAGCTCCACCTGTGTGTACATCTACTATAGGGGTTTCATGTATGATATGTTTGTCGCAGAAGTGGGTGAACGATTGGTAAGATATATCTTTATAAATCCTGGTATATATTTAAAGAGTAGGCATAAAGGATCGGGTGATATTCCTATTACAATAATATGTTTTTGCTCCATTTTTTGTGAGGTACAAATTAGCAGCATGCTAATTTGCAGCATGCTAATTATCAGCACCACTCTTAGCAGTAAGAGTGGTGGCCATTTCTAGTGGTTTCTGAAATTTTTAGTGGACGTTTTGAGGTGCACTAAATCAATCCCACAATATGCATAGCAATTACGAGTCTACAACCCATGTGCACTCAAGATCTAGATCGTCTGACCACAAGATGGCATTTAAAACAATCTTATTGCTGTAACTTTCAAGATAAATGAATATTTAAAGTAGTGTTTATATACATGAGAGAAATCAGAAGTCTTTCATTACTAATAGAAAGCTCGAAAAGTGTTAAGCAGAGTTAAACAATAACAAGGTCTGACCAGGAATCTTGTCCTTCTGAGGGATTTATCAAGCAGCAAAACACAAACTAAATGATCCACTGAGTGCTCTAATACGCTCACTCATTGCATTCACTACTTCAAGTAGACTAGATTAGTGGAATAATGCAGGAAATAGGGAATGGGGTACAGGGGACTTACAGTATATGCATATATGCCTATTTATACATACAGCATATGTGTTCAAATTCAAACTACTAAAACACTTCATACATGTCCCAAAAAATCATTAAATCATAAATCGACCATAACAAAGGTTTTTAACCCAATAAACACACATTAGCATTCATACTGTGAAACAATGACTTTAGGAAAGAAGCACTTGCTTACTAAACAAGAATGAAAATGTTAATTATAACTATCAATTAACAGTATTGTATTACTTTCAAATGTAAAAAAAATGCTTTGCATGTTTGTTGTGTTCGTTAAAATTTAAACCTATTTGAAAACGTTTTTAAAACCATCTGTTAGTGTGCAAAGTCACCTATGCGCTAATTTTTTTTAAAAATGTGTTTTTTTTTTCTAAACTTTCAGAGTTACTACTTAGACACTGAGGTGGATCTGCAGGAGCAGGTGGTTAGAGTGAGAAAACTGCACCACCTGCTGGAGATCCTGGGCACCTGCAGCACTTTCCTCAGTCTTCCTCACGAGCGCCTTTTCCTTTTCACTCAGTGAGTTTCTCGTCTTCTCCGAGAGTCTTATATTAATCAAATAGTGATTTAAGGGCTAATAAATCATACCATTTTTTTCCACAGAGAATTGTGATTTATGATACATGAAGGTGCACTTTTCTATTAGAGAGCACTGCAGATTTCTTGATTGCACTAGGGATGGTACTTTGAAAGAGATTAAAATGTAGTTATATCTTGTTCTAACCGTGATATTTGATGTCAGGTCCTGTTTGCAGTACTATAAAACATCCAACTATGATGAGGACCACATCTTCCAGTTGCAAATTAAACCGGCGCTCATTAGCTACTTTTATGAGAAGTGAGTTCTTTCTGTATGGTGTTTTCATGTATTATGTGCTGAACGGTGTCGTGCTGTTTATATAATTGGTATTGTTTTCTGTTATTCTGTCAGAGAGCAGCCGTTCTCTTGGGCCGTGGAGGTGTCTAGTGGACAGGGGTCAAAGGAAGTCAAGACATCATTGTACCTCAGTGACAAACCCCTAGTAGACCACATTCATTTGGACTTAGGTAAGGCACGCAGTTGTTTATTGTCATGTTTTATGTTGAGTTGGTTAAAAAAGAAATCTGACATTATGACGCACACACAGATGTATCCTTAAATGAGTCTGTAAATGGAGATAGTGAGAAGATGTTTTACTACAGGACCATGGTGAGCTGTAGTCTCATCAACTTCATTTAACAAAGGTAAGAGTCCATGTTTTAAAAACCAAAGTACAAAAAGGAGCTTATAACCATTCGTTTATTTGATTTTGAAGCAGTGGTTTAAATTTGTGGGGCAGTTCCATACATTTGGGGTCATTTCTTTAATTTTAAAAGGGAAGTTTCATGTTCATAATGGCTTCACTTATTTTTAAGTACAGTAAAGCAGTAATTGTGAAATGATATTTCAATTTAAAATGAATTCTGTTTGGATAGGTTTAAAATGTAATTTATTTCTTTGATGGCAAAGTTGAACTCCAGTCTTCAGTGGTACTTGACCCATGGCGATTTGGTGTGTAATAAACACTTCTAATATTTATAAATGCAATATATTTTGTAAATAATTGTTTAATAAACAGAAAAAAAGTCTTAAACACACAACAAGGGCATCCTCTGTGTAAAACATATGCTGGATAAGTTGGTGGTTCATTGTGCTTTGTCGATCCCTGATGAATAAAGGGACTAAGCTGAAGGAAATTGAATGAATAATTGATTTACTCATCCTTCACTTATACCGAAGCAGTTTGAGTTTCAATCTTCTGCTGAACACAAAGGAAGACGTTTTGAAGAATGTTGGGGAAAAAACATTCATTGACCTCCTAGTATTTTAAACTGAATACCGATGGCTGCTCTTTTCCAACATTCTACAGAATATCTTGTTTGTGTTCAACAGAAGAAAAGAAACCATAAACGTTTAGAACCACTTGAGTGTGATTAAATGATGAGAATTTTCATTTTAGGTGAACTGTCCCTTTAGGGCAACTAGCATAGCACATTAACTCATTAACTTCCTCATTAAAATAAATAAATTCCAAGGCCGAACATGTTAGTTTTATCATTAGTATCCATATCGTCATCATCCTTACTTGCATACAGTATTATTTTGGTAAAAAGGAGCCAAATAATTTTAGGACTTAAAAAAAATGAGTTAGTTCCGTTTGCGGAGCAGAAACATGAGAAAGACAGCGCTGATCAGAATACAGAGGGTGCAGACAGTGGGAACCACCACTTCGGTCACCATCTCCATGTGGCTGGTTAAAGGATCTGAAACATACACACAAAGCACACTTGTCAGCCCAAACATACAAGCATAGCCTATTTGTAATGCCACGCTGCTTTTGCATTACGGAGCTCTCAAAGGGTTAATATTGTTGTTTTCTTGCTTGTGTGTGTGTATGTGTGTGTTATGGCTTACCATGAATAAGTTTTAGAATATTGGCAGCCGTATTCCGCTGTTCCTCTAATGAAGAGAGAGAAATAATCTTAGGATTGCATCAGAGCACATTAACCCTTTGCGGGCTGCTGTGTAAGCTTGCAGTGAAGCAGCACAGTTATAAGCAGAAGGACAGCATGCCAATCACATCAAGCGTCATTTTAGTGTAACACACTTCAGGTTATACGTCTTCACTGGCTGTTTAATAGGATTATATGGCACACATATTTTATGAAGCTGTTCTTTTGATTTGTGGGAAATGTTTTAGTTTGATAGGAGTGAATTAGAGGCATTTTTAGGTTCTGATTAAAAAGGTTTTGAAATCTTGATGATCTGCTGATTTGTGGATAATAGAAAGCAAAGCAATTTTATTAAAAGCACCAGACTGTTCTTTAAGGTTGTGTTGGCTTAATCAATGGTCTCCAGTCTTAAAAAATGATGTCTGTCGCAACTTCTGCAATTCATTCTGATGTAAATTTAAGTTTACGTAAAATAACAACATTATTATTCTAATAATTATAATAGAAATGTAACTGATCACAAATCTCACAGTTCGGATTACATTATGGTTTTTTTAGTCACGTATCTGACAATTTTTCGGATAAGCCAAAAAGGGGGGAAAGACAAATGTAATTTGCTATTCATTTATTACAAAAACAGTACTGCAAGAAACTTTTGGTTTTAACTAACAGAACTTAAAGGCTGTAATTTTATTAAAAAAAAAAATGAAGAAATAATCAGCTGAATAAAAATTAATGATAAAATATTCAGTAGTGTGTTGCTGTTAATGATAACGCTAAATGTATAAATCTAACATTATATTTTGTACAACCCATATTTATTATTTTATTACAATAAATAATTCAGCTGTTCACTCATAAATAGTCATGCTTATTACTAGATCATCATTTTTGAAGAATTATTCAGTGGCATATTTTTGATGGCTGGCTGCCTACAACTTTAATTTTCAAGCATAAAGATAAATGCATATGACGATGATTTTATTCTTTACCATGTCAGTGGTTTTATCTAAACTATAAACTGTTATCCCAGTACTTTTGTGTTATTTGACTGTTAGTAACTTCATATATAACTCAAAAGACTGAATCTTTTTCTTGATTTTTGTGTTTTTCAAACACAGATTTGAATGCAGTAATTCGAAGGATTAATAAACATATGCAAATCATTCATAATTTATGTTGCAATGGTGTTGAGATCCTTATATTTTAATGATTAATTGTGCAGCTTACACTGAATGCATTAATACAGGCTAAACAAGTAGTGACAGAAAATCACATTAATAACCTAAGAAACCCACCACTTCTTGAATACCACCACCATCATTATATTTTACAGAAAATCCTAAATGCTTTCATACATGTGATTTTAATAGGTGATCTCTCTGCCATTTTTACAAATGTAAGATTTTCTACAAGTAAAAGAAAAATGTACTTATCCGCGAGTCATGTGTGTTCCATATCGTGGGATGTGATCCTTACAAATCATGGATCCAATGTAATCCGTTACACCCCTAATTTTATCCACACTTGTATAAAAAATATGTGCATATTTAATCCATAAAACATAAAACATCCATAGATATAATAATCACCATATGAAGTGGATTAAAAAACTTTTCAGATTTTTTTTTAAACCAATAATGGGTGGTGTTTGTTTTTATCAAAACCTTTTGATCTACTTAAAATGTTGGTTATATACAGGGCTTGACATTAACACCTTCAAACCCGCCAAATGCAGGTAGATTTCAGCTGTGGCAGGTTGGACAGCCAGTCACTTTGGCTAGTCGAAAATAATTTTCTGAAAATGTTCTTGAAAATATAGGTTTCTTTCACTTTTTCCATTCATTGAACAGATTATCAATGGGCCTAACGTTAACTGTGTACACGTGACCATCCTTTCATTATCGCACATGATATGTTTTTCACCTTCTTTCTTTTGTTAACGGTTATTTTTGTTAATACGATTCAAGTATCATCCTTTACAATAACATTGCTTTAATAGGAGTAAATTCTCTCCATTTATGTTTAATTAACTGGTGATATGGGATCTTCAGCCTGGACAGACTACTGTGCTTATTTTAACATGACAATAATTCTTTTTTAAATGTCAATTTCTTAATTGTTTTTACACATTATTTAAAATGTATGGCTAAGAAATAAGAATAAGAAGTATTTCAAATTAGAAATATTTATTTATGGTGTGGCCAGGGAAAAATTAGTGAAGTCCTTAGTGTTAAACCCTAAAAAAATTCATGTAAAATAAAAACTAACAGCAGTGAAACAGTATGAAAGGACAACCCATTTGCTTGTGGACATTTGAGCAGGTCATACACAAAACACAAAAAAGCGAAATGAATGAGGAGACATGTGGACATAACATGTGGTCTAGCAATTTTACTCTTGAGTGATTTTAGCATACCATAGTCAAATTTTTGCATATAAAATATACTTTCCCAACAAAAAATTGTGGCCAGTGGAAATGGTGAGAGGCTAGTAATGTTAGAAAACTACTAGTAACCACAGTGGCTGGTGATCTAAAAAGCTTGTTATATATATTTTTATTTGCATTTCGGATTTTCGTATTAAAAATGCTTGATGGAAACGCCAAGATGCACATACATTTTGAAAATGTGCATGAAAAACTGCATAACTAGGTATGACAAACTTTTTATTCAATTAGTAAAAATGTGCATAAACTACGAAAGAAACATGTTTACCATGTAAATTTTAGTGTGTACATTTAAAAAAGGTGGTTTTGTTTTAAGAGATTTATGTGGTGTCAAAATAGGTAAGATGGACAGCATTGTAAAACATCTGCAATGTTGTTTTGATCATTCTAAAATTCCTTTCAATTTCATTATTATTATTTTTAGTACCTCCTATTGCATGTTGCAAGTAATTTAATAAATAATAAAATAACTTCTACTGCAGATAATTCCCCCCTTTTTTACTATTAGGTGGCAGTTTATCAGGAAGTAACGATTTTATGTTATCTTTGACTCAATGAATGTAAAAACTGCATTATTCGCTAATCTTTTATGTGGTATTCCAGTTTTGTGCATAAATTTAATTCACATCTTTGGGTGGAAAAAAGCTATTATTTTAGATGTGTAAAGGGATTGATAATTTAAGTAAAATAAATAGGAAATAAGCTCGGAAAGCACAGTACCTAGAGCGTTTAATAAGATTTCTCACTGTACTGCCACTTAAATATTTATAGGTTCTCCAGCTGCTGATCTGGACATTTCTTTATGGTCGCATTTAATTAAAATATATGTACTACAGAGCCATTTTAACATTATTCACTGACACCCGTGGCATATGTCAGCTTGTCAGAATCGGAGTTGGCCAGAACTTAATGCTGTTTCTATCTGACTGCACCACACATTGTTGGAAGATTGCCAAGCAGAAAAGAAAAGAGCAAGTTACTTCTGTATGTTCGCTAGGGTCTAAACTTCATCATGCACTGGCCAAACCTTTGGCATGATCTTTATTATCCTTGGATTTTCTTTTAGCTGGAGGGGCAAACAAAGAAAAATCCTGTTAGAGGTTTGGGCTCAGTCTCTGCTGCAGACCTCCACAAAAGTCTTTGTCAATCCATTCCCTATGGACACTAATGGCTAAGTAGAAACCTAGTCAAACCACAAATGAGGTTAGCATAATAAAACAGTGGAGATCCAGTTGAAGGAATGTTCTCACGTACTGTTCAAGGGGAATTTGTTCCCATCGAATTTGTTCTTGATTAAAGGCTGCGTGATTATTTCTTTTAGTCTGTAATCCACAAATGGAATTTTTCCTTGTTTGCCCCAGTTCTTCAACTAAGTTCAAATCAGTGATCCACTGACCTGCCGCCAGAAGCTGATTGCTGGTGGAACAAGTCTCTGTAGCTTTCCTCTTCCAGGTCTCAACCTGCCAACGATGAAGGAGATTCAGAGGTCATAGTCTCATTTAATCAAACTCTTCTCTTACAGATGGAGACTTTCACAGATGGACACTCCTTTCAACATTGTATTCCAGAATTTTCATTTTCTGTGCTATTTAACTGGCTTGTTTAATTCTGTTAATTGTGCTATGCTTAATACATTTATAAAAGAGTCACATTGTCTGACAATAAACATTTCCAACACCTGATTTGTTCAGGAAATGATTTGCAGTTTGCCCAATATAACAAAAATAATTAAGAAACACCATTTATATGGTAATTACATGCTAATCCTGGGGGTTCTCCAAGACATTTTTGTTGGTAGATAACCAAATGAAGTTGTTGGTGTATTCACTCTGAATAGCTATTTAATTGGAAAATGTCCCCTCCAAACATTTCATTGACTTAAAATAGCACATTTTGATTGCAAAACAGATGCTCTAATCCAAAATACAACTACAAGATTACTCTCAGAGAATCTGGAGCAGAAGCAGTTTAATAAAATATGTTAAACATACGTTTTTTTAAATATAGTTTTTAAGGACAGATCAACTATACACACATACCTCTCTCTGACCGGGGAATCCATTAGACTGAATGATGCGTTTGTAGAACTGAACGGAGGCCTTAGGGTAGCGAGGTTTATTTTGGTTCTTGAAGTCCACATAGTACAATCCGAACCTCTCTGAATAACCCTCATCCCACTCAAACTTGTCCAGCAAAGACCAGGCGGTGTAGCCCTTTACATTCACTCCATCCCTAATAGCTGCAAGATAACAACATAATTGTGCAACTCTATCATCATTTACTCACTCTAATGTCCTTCAACTCAGTTGACTGACATTCTTCTTTTAAATACAAAAGGATGATCATTTGAAAACTGTTTTTTTTTTTTATACCAGAATGTTATTGATGTCTGTTATCATATGAAACCATAATTTCCTAAATCATTTGAACAAATATATTCTTATAACTATTTTTGTGTTGCTTAGAAGTCCTCATACTGGTTATGAACAACTTTAATGATGACATGTTTTGTGTGTGTGAACAGTATCTTTCAGGACATTTATTAATTTATGAACCGGTTACCTTTGAGCATCTCATTGATGTAGTCCTTGTAATACTTTATCCTCCAGTCGTCACACAGTTCTGTGCACATCATTTTCTCTGAAACCCCATTTTCAGTGATGTAGATCATAGGGTTCCCATAGTGAGTCTTTAAAAAAAAAGGGAAAAGGACTTGATTACATTTGTTTCTCTGATCATAAAAACCTTTTCTAGTAGTTTATAGTTTTGTAGGGATGATGCCAAAATCCAGAAGACAAAGGGACAGAGTTACTAAACTGCAAATTAGCGCAAAAGATCACGCTCTCATAAGTGCATAATGGAACATATCTGGAGGCATCTACTGACAAACTATGAATTTTAAAAAATGCTCAATCATATCTGTCTTTTCTCTTCGGATAAAAATACCATCATATCTGCACATATGCAATCAGCGTATTAAACCCAGCTGTTACAGTTGGTCCAAATCAAGGCAAAAGTGAGATGTTTATGTTTATGAAGGCAAAACAGAAACCAGAAATGTAATATGTACAGAGAGCCTGACTGACTGAAACAGAAGGGCTTAAATACACTGAAAACAATGGACTGAGGAGCAAATGAAAACTAAAAAGGCAAAAACATTGCAAACGTTAAAAGAGTACATATGCTCACCGGCCACTTTATTAGGTACAAGGCAAATTTAAAATCAGCCAATAACGTGGCAGCAACTCAATGCAATTAGGCATATAGACGTGGTCAAGATGATCTGCTGCAGTCCAAACCGAGCATCAGAATGGGGAGGAAAGGTGATTTAAGTGACTTTGAACGTGACATGGTTGTTGGTGCCAGATAGGCTGGTCTGAGTATTTCAGAAACTGCTGATCTACTGGGATTTTCATGCACAACCTTGAGGCCGATGGGCTGCAGCAGCAGATGACCACACCAGGTGCCACACCTGTCAGCTAAGAACAGGAAAGTGAGGCTACAATTTGCACAGGCTCAACAAAATTGAACAATAGATGATTGGAAAAATGTTGCCTGGTCTGATGAGTCTTAATTTCTGCTGGGACATTCAAATGGTAGGTTCAGAATTTGGCGTCAACAACATGAAACTGTAGACCCATCCTGCCTTGTATCAACGGTTCAGACTGGTGGTGGTGTAATGATGTGGGGGATAATTTTTTTGGCACACTTTGGACCCATTGGTACCAATTGAGCATCGTGTCAACACCACGCCCTACCTGAGTATTGTTGCTGACCATGTCCATGCCTTTATGACCACAGTGTACCTATCTTCTGATGGCTATTTCCAGCAGGATAACATGCCATGTCATAAAGCACCAATCATCTTAAACTTATTTCTTGACATGACAATGAGTTTACTGTATTCAAATGACCTCCACAGTCAGCAGAACTCAATCCAAGAGAGCACCTATGGGATGATGTGGAATGGGAGATACGCATCATGGATGTGCAGCTGACAAGTCTGCAGCAACTGCGTGATGCTATCATGTCAATATGGACCAAAATCTCTGAGGAATTTTCCAATACTTTGTTGAATCTATGCCAAGAAGGATTAAGGCAGTTTGAAGGCCAAAGGGGGTCCAACCTGGTACTAGTAAGGTGTACCTAATAAAGTGGCTGGTGAGTGTAGGTTATACTTAGAATGTTTCTACTATCAAATACACTTAGCTTATTGTCAAATAGTAATAAATATGAAGTGTCTGCATAAAATTAACTAATAATAAGTACCATTATTTCTTTTTGTTTTACAAATGTGTAATTAGAATGTCTATAAACTTGTTTTTGCACCTTCATAAAGTTGAGTAACCTCCGGAAGCCCCAAGGAACCGAATAGAGCCATTCTGATCCAGGATCAGGCCAACGTGGGTCAACCAGCTCTGCTACATCTCTGTCTGAGAAGTAGGTTGTTCCACGGTTGGAGGGGTAGCTCTTTTGGGTGATGTAGCGTGTTGTGAAGTGCCCCACGCCTAGGAAGTCACTGGTGCCTTTGATGTAACTCTTCTCTTGAGAAGAAAAAGTGGGAAGACGAGATGTTCCCAAACCCTGCAGTGCACTTTTCCTACCTGGGATGGAAAATGATCATTAATATGCTGAATTGTGCCATTATTTATCTCACATATTCAACCGATTTAGCACTAATACCAATGAAATCCTTCATCACTTGAGGATAATCTCCATGGAAGATGGGCGTAGCAAACCAGCCAATGTAAAACTGGACATATCTCTCAGCAGCCTCAATGTCTTTCTGGTTAGTGATGTCCACTGGTTCTCCCCAATCCCCAGACAGTGAAATACCAACCATACCTTGTGGGGACAAAAGAACAGGCAGAACGAAAAGAAATAAAGAGTAATTTTTAACTAGAAAAGTCAAGCTCGTAGACAAACTTTATGATGTCTTGAGAAAGCCCAGCCTGAAAGTTTGAAGCAGTTTTAAAGTTTAAATAATTGAAGTAGTTTTAAAGAAGTTTAAAACATTTGGCATAGATGGAATACTACAGATTAGTATATTGTTAGTATGTCCAATCAATGACAATGGCAGTTTTTTAAGAATGAAAGTCTATGAGAAAGTTGCTAGGGTGCCGTAAGTAGTTGCTAGGATGTGGCTTGTTAGTTGAAAGGTCAACTGTGATTGGCAGATTGGTACTCTGAATTAAATAAGCCCAATCTTAAGTTTGTATGACAGTCTGGCGCAAAGTTATGAGGGCAAAAAGTTTGGTTCAATGTTAAGTCAATGGAACTTTTCCAAATTTTCCGGGCCAATTTTGGGAAAACCTTAAGTCGGATCTGTTAGAAAAGATATAGCCACTTCATTCAGTATAGTTTGGAGGTTTGGGGTTAGTTTGGTGATTGTAGTATGAACGGTCTAGGAGGAGATGCATTCTTAAAATAGTCTTAAGAAGAAGAAGATGGAAGAAGAATAATATGTTGATGTAGTATAACAGTAAATTGGCTTTCTTAAGCCACCATAATAAAGTACAGATATTAGTAAGCTCATACCTTTTTGTTTGCTTCGCCACTGAGAATCGTAAGTGTGCCAAACCTTAGCATGTGCCTGAAATTAACCAGCACACACTGTGTTGTATTTAACTCCATTCTAAAACACCAGGGTACACATTTTAAGTCAGGGGAGTGATGTGTTACCTTAATGATGTGGTGAGCTGCTCTGTAGGCCCCGGTTCCCCTGAGCTTCAGTCCTGGAGCATGTTCTCCAGTTTCATATCCTTCCACTGCCACTGACTGACATACAATGAGCACAATAATGAGCATATCCTTTTCTCATTTCTCAGATGTGCTGTTATTGACTAGAGATGACTGGATTGAGCATACCCATGGGTTGTTAAAGGTTATCCAGTGTTTCACACGGTCCCCATAGCGTTCAAAGCAAAGGTTGGCAAAGTCGTTGAAGTAATTAATCATGCTGATGTTTTGCCATCCACCATATTTCTCCTGCAGAACCTGTCCGAATGTACAGATGATAAATGATAAAACTTTTCCGAAAATGTTGCAGACTAATCCATTATTACTGCAATCAATGGGTAGATGAAAATCACTGAATGTGTTTTCATCCTTTTATTTGTCAGTTCTTGACAGATGCTGTTGAAAGGTATTGTTGGGACTGTCAAATAAATGTAAATCGAATTGATTGGGCTTATTTGATGAACAGACTTTAGGTTTATTGCCGTTGTATTATTGTGAGGGAAAGATGAACAGTCTATTCATTGTCTTAAAGCAATAATTTACCCAAAAATGAGAACTCTGTCATCGAATACTCGTTTTAATGCTGTTACAAACCTCTATGAATTCACGAGTTTAACACAAACAAGTTAAGTTCATTTATAAACTAATTTCGAGAGGATCACATGCTTATGATTGACCACAGCTGGTCCCGAATTAGCTAACATGATTCACTAATCAGACCATTCCTAAAACACTATTAAAAACCAGAGTTTCATACCGCAGTTATCTTCGTCTTGAAGAACCCCCCTCCTTCCATCCCTACTCTTCCCCCTTTACCTAGATAGGGCAGCACAGTGGCCCAGTGGTTAGGACTGTTGCCTCACAGCAAGAATGTCCTTGGTTCAAGTCCTTAACAGGTCAGTCGACATTTCTGTTTGAAGTTTACATGTTCTCCTCGTGCTCGCGTGGGTTTTCCCAGAGTTCCCCGGTTTCCTCCCACCGGACTCTCTCCCGGGACAGCATGTCAAACATGCTTTATAATCAATCATCAGATAAGTGTGAACTCTTCAAAGATCTTTTAAGAACGCTCTTAAAAGTTCAATAAGACCTGACATGTGTTGGATTTAAGCATTCTCATGAGGAAACATAACTGTTTTATATTTTGTCAGTTTACTGGCTAATTTATACGAGTTCAGTCCCCTAAACCCAATCATCATTGGGGGCTAAGCAAATCAAACTCAATTGTATGAGATCGTACGATTGAGATTGTACGAATTCATATGAATTAGCCACTAAATCAAAAAGTTATGAATTGCGTTGGCATTCTTCAAAACATCTTTTATGCTTTGCTTTTATGCTGGTATGAGCGCAAATAAATGAGACAATTTTCATTTTTTTTAGTGGACTGTCACTTCAAAGTGCTTTTACATACACTGTAAAAATTAAATCTGTAATATTTACGGTAAAAATGGCAGCTGTGGTTGCCAGTATATCACCGTTAAGAATACAATACAAACCGTAAAAGCAATTTCTCATTTTTACAGTAAACTACTGTATTTCATTAATTTATAGAGGTAATATGTCTGTATTTTTAAATACTAACATCTACACATTGTTTGCTACACAGATATACACGTTAACACAGCCATATGCATGTGGTAATGAGAAAGGTTCATAATAAACCAATGCTTATCACTAAACAGAAAGCAGAAAAGTGTGTCAGTGTACAGAAGGAGCTCAGTGTCATTTACACAGCTACTCAACACCAATATGGTAACACGCATAAAATTAAAGTCATGAAATAAACAATGTTTATCAACAATAGATGTAACATAAATCTCTAATGTACATAACTGATGGTGAAACAACTAAAAAGATCCATAGTAATGTCAATAAAAACATAAATAAGGATGTGCCATGCAGGGAATTCTAGTATAGTCAATTTACAGTTATTCGCCTTATATTAAGGAAACATACTGTTTACCATGTTACAGATTTTTACTGTAGCATTTTTACAGTTTTTTACCATTGAAATTGCAGCCTTTTTTACAGTGTAACTACTACTCATTTATTACATTATACCTTGGGAAAATACCAGAAACCAACTATTGACAAGTTGTTGATTCAAATACTTTTGGTAAGCAGCAGAAAAGCCATAACCAATGGTTAGGAACTGTAATACACTGTATGGAAAGACTGACTTTTAACCTAAAACTTGATTTGTAAAAATATTGGAAAAAATTAACTGAGTATGTCATTGTAAACAATATGTGATAATGTGCTTCAAATGTATTGTCAGTTGATTAGTTGATTAGTACTACTAATTCATTAGCTATTATAGTGGCTGAGAGATTCATTAAAAAGTGATCAAAATTCAGAACTGATAACTGATAAATTTTTTCCAGGTCAATTTTTCAATTACATTCCCTACATCGTGTGGAGTCACGTGACCTTACTCTGCTATTTTATACATCGAATGCATGGGTGTGGTCTGGCGCAGCCTTTCTGCAGTTGCAAACTTTAATGAGCACATTACATGTGAGGATAGTTTTTGTACAAAGCTTATCAGTGAACTATGAGGCCAATTTTTTTTTATAAATATATAAAATAAGACCTGATTAATCGTAATCGAGGTAAAATATTTAATTAATCGAGATTTAGATTTTAGGCCAAGTCCTAATTGATTTTTAAGCAAAATACAGAATACATTAACTCAGTCATTAGCTATTCTAAATTTAACACTCCTTATAGAGCGATGATAAATTACTGCACATTTGAACAATTTTTATCTATTGCTTTTCAATGTTGCCTCAAATGGCTGATCAGAAAACAAATTTAACAGTAAATGTCTGCCGCATTTCTGTTTAAACGTAAAATTGAGTATTTTGTTTAATTTGTATTTATTACAAAGAGGTTAATTAAATAAGACAATATATTAAAATTTGATTACTGGGATACACACCTGTGGCAGGTCCCAATGGTACAGGGTCACAATGGGAGTGATTTTATTTTCAAGCAGCTCATCAATGAGAACATCATAGTACCTCACTCCTTTCTCATTCACATGGTCAGCTGCAAACACACAAGAGCAGTAACATAATATTAGGGAAAAATACATTAACAGCAGAAGTCCTCAATGAGGCCTGCAGTACAGATACTTACACCTGATTCCAGTTGGCATGATCCTTGGCCAGGAGATGGAGAACCGATAGTGATTCAAATTCATCTCTTTCATCAGTGAAATATCATCCTATGTGAAATAATGCAAAATGTTGTTGCATTGCAAAGCTGGCACATTCCATAGTAAATGGCATGGCAAAAAATAATCTTATAAAAGTTAAACATAATTTCTATGAGACACTGGAAACGGGCTTAACTGATGAACATGGCACAGTATTTGGGAACACTTCAGCAGTTTCAGAGTCATCTGATGATTGAATGAATTCTGTAATGTTTCTGTGAGATGTTCTTTAAGTGGAAACAAACAGAAAACCCTTACTATGGAAGAATAAAGGTCTAGTTTTTAAAAAGATTAGTGCACATCTTGATCAACTAAATGCTGGCTTTTCAAATGTATGTGTATTTTAGGCTAAAGACAACAGTAACACTTTACAATAAGGTTCCAATAGTTGATGTTAGTTAATGTATTGATATGAACTAAGGATGAACAATTCCAATACAACATTTAATAAATGGTTAGTTCACACAAAAGTTAGAATTCTGTTATTAAATATTCACACTTGTGTTGTTCCAAACAACACAAGTCCCTAAAACCTTTGCTTATCTTCGAAACTCAAATGAATATATATTAAGATTTTGTAGATGAAATCCAAGAGCTCTCAATCATTGTCCATACTGCTCTGGTCCCAAAACATTAAAATTCCAGAAAAGGAACCAAAAAAAAAGTCAGTTATACCAGCCTGAGACCCCCAAAATTAAAATGCCAGTGACTCCCGACTCCCAATACGCTTTAAGGTGGTTATAAATATATAAACCTTGTACACAATGCCGCACACCTTTCAGTAGGCTCAAGTCTATTCATCATTCAAATTTGAAGATCGCCACTCGGAGACTATCCTCCATGTTCATTTGTGGCCTGTATTTATTTTAAATGTGTGTGAGTTCTGTAAAGGTGTAAGAAACTTTAACCTGGTGCCATAAAATCAATGTGCTGTGTCTTTAATATTATTAGTTATTGGTAAATATAGTAATTCTGATAGTTTAATAAAATAAATTAGATTTTTGGAAATCACCAAGTGACCCCCGCCCACTGGACAATGAGAGATTGGTGCTCTCGAATTTCATCTAAAATATTTTAGAATTGCTTAGAATTTTTATTCTGAAGATCTTTGAAAGTCTCATGGGGTTGGACATAAAAGTAATTATTAACAGAATTTTCTTTTTTTTTTTTTTGGTAATGTTTGTTCAACATTTACTAATAGGCCTGGGTTATTAAAATCTAAAGGTGTGCTTGTTGATATTAATGAATGCACTGTGAGTTAAGATAATTAACAAGTTTATTATTATCATTAGTTAATGTTAAAAGTATGTTTGTTCCTGTTAACAACCTTAACAATCAATTGCTTAAAGTGTCAGTTAGAAGGCCTCAGAATGGCAATTTAACAATAAAAACAGCAACAACAACAGCAGAAAATGACAAGATGTCCTCACTGCAGCCTGCAGCTTGATCATGTAGGCGATCGTCAACTACGTAGTGGACCTTTAACCGCCCACTAAGGTAACACTTATGTTACTCTGATAGTTGAGTTTAGGATAGGGGGAGGTGTAGGCGATCGTCAACTTGTATCGGCCACTAAAGTAGCGCCCATGCTACTGTCACACTTGGGTTTAGGGGAGGGGGAAGTGTAGGCGACTGTCAACTACATAGCGGACCTTGTACCACCCACTAAGGTAGCGCCCATGCTACTGTGACAGTTGGGTTTAGGGTAGGGGGAGGTTTAGGCGATCGTCAACTATGTAGTGGACCTGGTCAACTACGTCATAAGGCTGCAGGCTGCAGCGAGGACTATCTCACTAAGGTAATGCCAATGGTACTGTGACGGTTGGGTTTAAGGTATGGGGAGATGTAGGTGATTGTCAACTACATAGCGAACCTTGTACCACCCACTAAGGTAGCACCCATGCTACTGTGACAGTTGGTTTTAGGGTAAGGGGAGGTGTAGGCGATCGTCAACTACATAGCCGACCTTGTACTACCCACTAAGGTAGCGCCCATGCTACTGTGAGGGTTAGGTTTAGGGTAGGGGGAGGTGTAGGCGATCGTCAACTATGTAGTGGACCTGGTTAACTACGTTATAAGGCTGCAGGCTGCAGCGAGGACTATCTCACTAAAGTAACGCCAATGCTACTGTGACGGTTGGGTTTAGGGTAGGGGAATTTGTAGGCGATTGTCAACTACATAGCGAACCTTGTACCACCCACTAAGGTAGCACCCATGCTACTGTGACAGTTGGGTTTAGGGTAAGGGGAGGTGTAGACGATCGGCAACTAGATAGCGGATCTTGTACCATCCACTAAGGTAGCGCTATGCTACTGTGACAGTTGGTTTTAGGGTAAGGGGAGATGAAGGCGATCGTCAACTACATAGCGGATCTTGTACCACCCACTAAGGTAGCACTGTGCTACTGTGACAGTTGGTTTTAGGGTAGGGGGAGGTGTAGGTGATCGTCAACTATGTCGTCAAGCTGCAGGCTGCAGCGAGGACTATCTCACTAAGGTAACGCCAATGCTACTGTGACGGTTGGGTTTAAGGTAGGGGAAGGTGTAGGTGATTGTCAACTACATAGCGGACCTTGTACCTCCCACTAAGGTAGTGCCCATGGTACTGTGACAGTTGGGTTTAGGGTAGGGGGAGGTGTAGGCGATCGTCAACTACATAGCGGACCTTGTACCACCCATTAAGGTAGCGCCCATGCTACTGTGACAGTTGGGTTTAGGGTAGGGGGAGGTGTAGGCGATCGTCAACTACGTAGTGGACCTGGTCAACTACGTCATCAAGTTGCAGGCTGCAGCGAGGACTGTCTCACTAAGGTAACACCAATGCTACTGTGACAGTTAGGTTTAGGGTAGGGGAAATTGTAGGCGATTGTAAACCACATAGCGGACCTTGTACCACCCACTAAGGTAGCACCTATGCTACTGTGACAGTTTGGTGCAGGGTAGGGGGAGGTTTAGGCGATCGTCAACTATGTAGTGGACCTGGTCAACTACGTCGTCAAGCAGCGGGCTGCAGCGAGGACTGTCTCAAAAATGAGACCAGACCTTCAGGCATGAGCTTTACAAGCCCAAGCAAGAACAATCATGGTCACCTTGATTTTGTAGTATCCATCACAAGAAGAGTCTCCAGTATCATTCAAGAATGTTTTTCCCTTGTTATGAGTGAACACATCCCAGATGCTCAGTCCTTTCCCATCTTTGTCCCAGGCTCCTTCTGTTTGATAGGCTGAACCGCCGGCGCCCCACGAAAATCCTGACAAATGAAGTGAAAATGGTAGAGAAAACATTCTTTTACTTAAGTCTTGCTTGTCAGTTAACCACTAATATATACTTATGTTCTTGTAGTTTTGTCTATTTCCCAAAGGAAGGTAACTTATCCATGATGGGCTCATACCATTTGGAAAAGTGCCATAATAGAAGGAGTCGTGGTTGTTCGCTGACCAGTCGAAGTCCTCAGCCGCAGACAGACACAACACCAGCACAAGCACATGACACGCTGGTCCGACACGCTGTAGCAGCATCATATTCCAGCTCAGTGACTCTCATCTGCACCACGCTCTCCTGATCTGAGAGGTAGTAGTTACCCTTTCACTAGACATGATTCACTTTAGCATTGTTTTTTGCTTCATCTTAAATTCCTCTTTTTACATTAAATGTTCACACGTATGTACGTAATTATCCACCATTTTCTTAAGCCCCATTGTGCTTTTGCTTTGCGTGAGTTATGGGAGTAACTTCCGTTAAACTGTGAACAACAGATGATATGTTTTAAAACTGGGTACAGTGTCTTTATTCAACTCTTATTGAATATTAAAAGGCTAATTATAATGGATAAATTACTTTAAGCAGATCCCTAATAACTCTCAGACAAGTCTTTTTGCAATATGTTGCATATTACTGTACTGTAGAGAATATAAAGAGAAAATAATTGGAACAAAACACTCAGAGCTTTTAGTCAGATTTGCTTGTACTAATGTTGTTAATCTAGGCTACCAAGCATATATTATTTTTATATTGTAGATTAAATATAGATCTGGGGAGTATGACAAAAATCTCATATCATGATATGTCATCTTATATCGTGATAATACCATATAGTTTCATTTTAGTAAATTCAATCAAATAATACTTTATAAGGACCACTTGTAAAGAAATTTTAAAGTATATACTTAAAAATGGTATCATATGTGATCATATTTGTCACAATATTTATTACAACTTCCGGGCAAATGCAGAAATATAAAATACATATGAATAAGATATAAAACACTTTTCATGAACTGATGATTACGGGTCCAAAATAAAAATAAATCAATAATTAAAATGTAAACATTGTACTTTTAAGACTGCAGCGTAAACATTCTCATACTGTTATTCATGTTTCTGTCTGTATCCCATAATGGAATGTATTATTGCACTAATATAAATTAAATAAAAAAGTATTACTGTAAACTGTTTATTTTGTTACATCACAAAATAAATGATAGAACTTAATATAAAAATACAGGCTTTTTATATTTATCTTAATATTGCAGAGTTTTCACTTTATATGGATTATTTCCAGCGTAACATTATTATTTGATTATTATTATTTATTTTTTATGTAAGTGCAACCCATAATTCCAAATGCAGTAAAGTGTGGAAAAAGGTGGATACTGTTGATTTGAACATACCTCACAGATTTTGCATTGATCCCTGATGGAAATCCTTTTAAAATTGCTGAAAATGATCTGATATCCAAGTTTGAGCTTTCAATGTTGCCATACAAAGTCTGTTAGTCAGCCTGGGTGGCAAAACACTGTGACCCCAATGTAGACCCAAAAGCCTTTCTATTGAGGGTCAATGGACTGTGATTACATTTCGCAAAGGTGGACAAATCTCTTACAAACCAGGGTTTCACTCTGTAAGCAAAGTTAATGTTGGAGAGGCTGATACTCTTGTGTTTACTTTAACAATGACAGTCCATGGCAAAAAAACTGACCACAAATGTTATACAACAGGTGTCTAGGATCTTATTCTGACTCATTAATATTGACAGATTTTTGTAAAGTAATTAAATGTTATATTGAAGCTACACTAGTTGGTAATACTATACAAAAAATCTGTAAAAAGGAAAGTTTCCAATATATGTACACTCACTGGCCACTTTATTAAGTACACCTTACTAGTACTGGGTTTAACCCCATTTTGTCTTCAGAACTGCCTTAACCTTTGTGGCATAGATTCAACAGGGTACTGGAAATATTCCGGAGATTTTGGTCTATATTGACATGATGGCATCATGCAGTTGCTGCAGATTTGTCGGCTGCACATTCATGATGTGAAAAAAAGTGGCATGTTAGCTGCTGGAAGTAGCCATCAGAAGATGGATACACTGTGGTCATAAAGGGATGGACATGGTCAGACAGCAACAATACTCAGGTAGGCTGTGGCGATGACAAAATGCTCAGTTGGTACTAATGGCCCAAAGTGTGCCAAGAAAATATCCCAAACACTATTGTACCACCAGCAGCAGCCTGAACTGTTAATAAAGGGCATGATGGATCCATGCTTTCATGTTGTTGATGCCAAATTCTGACCCTACCATCCGAAGCGCGCAGTAGAAATCGAGACTCATCAGACCAGGCAACATTTTTCCAATGTTCTATTGTCCAATTTTGGTTAGCCTGTGCGAATTGTACCCTCAGTTTTCTGTTCTTAGCTGACAAGAGTGGCACCCGCTGTGGTTTTCTGCTCCTGCAGCCAATCTGCCTCAAGGTGTGTTGTGAGCTCAGAGATGCTCTTCTGCATACCTCGGTTGTAACGAATGGTTATTTGAGTTGTTGCCTTTCTCAGTTCGAACCAGTCTGGCCATTCTTCTCTGACCTCTGGCATCAACAAAGCATTTGTGCCCACAGAACCGCTGCTCACTTTATTTATTTATTATTTTTCGTTTTTTGGACCTTTGTCTGTAAACCCTAGAGATGGTTGTGAGTGAAAATTCTAATAGATCAGCAGTTTCTGAAATACTCAGACCAGCCCATCTGCCACCAACAACCATGCCACGTTCAAAGTCACTTAAATCACCTTTTTTCCCCATTCGGATGCACGGTTTAAACTGCAGCAGATCATCTTAACCATGTCTACATGCCTAAATGCATTGAGTTGCTGCCATGTGATTGGCTGATTAGAAGTTTGCGTTAACGAGTAGTTGGACAAGTGTACCTAATAAAGTGTATGTTATATTAAAAATATAATCACATATTTTTCATCTAAAGAACTTTTTTTTTAGACACATATGCTCACCATCGTTGCATTTATTAGATTCAAATATAATATAGAGCATTATTTATGAGTGTAACGTCATCCTTTATATATATATATATATATATATATATATATATCCCGTTTAGAATTATTAGCCCCCCTGAATTATTTTCTTCCCAGAGATGGGTTGCGGCTGGTTGCGGTTCATTCCGCTGTGGCGACCCCGGATTATTAAAGGGACCAAGCCGACAAGAAAATGAATGAATGAATTATTTTCCCCCAATTTCTGTTTAACAGAGATTTTTTCAACACATTTATAAACATAATAGTTTTAAAAGCTAATTTCTTTTATTTCTGCCATGATTACAGTAAATATTTAAAGGCTTAACTAGGTTAATTAGGCAGGTTAGGGTAATTAGACATGTAACGCTGGTTTGTTCTGTAGACTATTGAAAAAAATAAATAGCTTTAAGGGGCTAATAATTTTGACCTTAAAATAGTTTTTAAAAAATTAAAAACTGCTTTTTTTTATAGCTGAAATAAAGCAAATAAGACTTTCTCCACAAGAAAAAAAAATATTATCAGACATACTCTGTTAAACATCATTTGAAAAATATTTAAAAATATATATATAAAAAAGGCTAATAATTCTGACTTCACTTTTTTTTCTTATTAAAATTTTTGTGTAAACCATAATCTACTTTGAATGTATTTTATCTATAAATTTAATGTAAATAACTGTAAAATACTAAATAAAATATAATTCCAAACATAGAAATAACCTTTAAATATAAACATTTGTAAAACCTTTTTACTCTGATGATCTTTGAAAAAATAAATACAAAAAAGTCCATACTATGTAATGCATTATTAATGCTAAATATAAATACTATCAATACAATTTTTTTATCTGCTAATACATAGGATGTTTGGAGTATATCATGGCACAATGTTTCTCCAGTGCTGCTTTTTTATATATTGTTAAAACACTTGTAACGGCTGTCTGGAAATACCGAATGCTGCTGGTGTTTTACTGCATTGCAGCTTGAGGCTGTGGTTGGGAGGGGGCAGAAGTCTGTTGTCACAGAAACTGTATTCTGAAAATATCACTAATACCGGCCAAAATAGGAAATGCAGCTGTCTGGTCATCATACTAAGGTTTATTAGCATGTACCTGGAGGATAATGTAAAAATCATTCACACATCATACATTTACACCAAGGCAACAACAAAACCACCTGCATCAGGAACTCTGCAAAAGAAACAGTACTGTTTTTTCAAATGCTATTCGGCTGAGCACCTTCAAAACCTGCAGAAAAGATGCTTTTCTCTAAGAAAACGTAGGAACTCTCTGTATATATTACCAATGCAGCACGTGAAGTACAAAAAAAATAATACTGGCTCAGCTAGAACGATCATCATGCTCATGCATACACTATCTATTCTACACACTCTCTCCAAATAGAAAAAATACCTCTGCGAGTTCACCAACATGTACATACAGAACAGCTTCAGAATCAGAATGCATTCAATATGAAAGCAATACAGCACAATATTAAATAAAGCCCACATGATACAGCATCGCTTGGTAAACACTACAAAACAGGTTTGGTGCAATTTCGGTTTTTTAAAAATACGTAAAGTGCAGGCTTGGCTAACAGCACAGTAATAGGAGAAGTTGTATTTGTGCTACACATACTTGTGGAGGATTTTAGAGATGTGTGAACCAACAGTTTGTCTAATCAACACCAATCTAAGACAGTACTAGTCTCTTTCAGCATGCCAAATGTGCAGATTACACAGCTAAATCACAGGAGTACATGAAAACACTCGTTTTTTTTTTCCTCCTCGGCTCAGTCAGTAGTCATCATCGTCTTCCTCCTCGTCTTCTAGCACCATGTTGAGATCTTCATCAGCATCATCGTCATCATCTTCCTCTTCCTCCTCCTCTTCATCTTCTTCCATGTCATAGTCTGTTTGAGCACCTAATACTAGTTTGGTTTGGTTGATCTCGGTCTCGTCATCTAGGTTTACTTCCTCCTGGAATGAACAAGTACAAATGTAATATATGACGGCCATCATATTCAACAAAACAGTTTTGTTTCTAAAAACCTCCCCACATTATGCTCACTATTAATCTTAGAAAAGCAATAGTTAAAGCATCATTACTTCAGTCTTCAGTGTCACATTATGATACTTCAGTAATTATGCAGATTATATTGTGCAGATTTGGTGCTTATCAATATTGGAGACCATTGTTTTCATTAATACTTTATGAACATTGAGAATACATTGATGAATACAAAACTCAAAAGAACAGTATAATTAAAGATTAAAAAATAACAATTTAAGTGTTTTTACCATCAGTTTAAATCAATTTAATGCATCCTTAATTACTAAAAATATTAGTTTCTCTCGTTAAAAAATCTTACTGAACTCTAATTTAGAAATTGCAGTGTGAAATATCTGAAATCATCATTATATATACACTTACGGGCCACTTTATTAGGTATTCCTGTCCAACTGCTTGTTAATGTAAATGTATAAATCAGCCAATCAATGCATTTAGGCATGTAAACATGGTCAAGACGATCTGCAGCAGTTTAAACCGAGCATCAGAATGGGGAAGAAATGTGATTTAAGTGACTGTGAACGTGGCATGGTTGTTGGTGCCAGATGGGCTGATCTGGGTATTGCAGAAACTTCTGATCTACTGGGATTTTCACTCACAACTATCTCTAGGGTTTACAGAGAATGGTCTAAAAAAAAAAAGAGCTAATATACAGTGAGTGGCAGTTCTGTGGGAGCAGATGCCCCGTTGATGCGAGAGGGTGCTCGCTGCAGAGCCATTTGAGGAGAGCTGAGCTCCAGCGAGGGGGAGCATGAGCTCTTGCTCCTTCTCCTGTAAGCTGTTTTAATGTGTATACCAACCCCACCCCTAACCCTACCCCCAGTGACATCACTAGTAGAAGAAGTGCAAAAAAGGTGGAGCTCAAGCTCAAGCTCCCCCTCGCTGGAGCTCAGCTCGCCCAAATGGCTCTGCAGCGAGCACCACTTGGTTGATGCCAGAAGTTAGAGGAGAATGGCCAGACTGGTTCAAGCTGATAGAAATGCAACAGTAACTCAAATGACCACACCGGGTGCCACTCCTGTCAGCTAACAACAGGAAACTGAGGCTATAATTCACCAAAACTAGACAATAGAAGATTGGAAAAATGTTGCAACATCGAATGATAGAGCTCAGAATTTGACATCAACACTATGAAAGCATGAATCCATCCTGCCTTTGTATCAACGGTTCAGGCAAGAGGATATTTTCTTGGCACACTTTGGGCTCATTAGTACCAATTGAGCATCGTGTCAATGCCACAGCCCACCTGAGTATTGTTGCTGACTATGTCCATCCCTTTATGACCACAGTGTACCTTTCTTCTGATGGCTACTTCCAGCAGGATAATGCATCATGTCATAAAGCGCAAATAATCTCAGACCGGTTTCTTGACATGACAAGGAGTTCACTGTACTCTAATTACCTCCACACAGTCACCAGATATCAATCCAATAGAGCACCTTTGGGATGTGGTGAATGGGAGATGCACATTATGGATGTGCAGCCAATAAATCTGCTGCAATTGTGTGATGCTATCATGTCAATATGGACCAAAATCTCAGGAATATTTCCAGTACCTTGTTGCCATGAAGGATTAAAGCAGTTCTGAAGGCTAAAGGGGGGTCCAACCTGGTACTAGTATGATGTTTGCTCATACTTCACTTTTATACTTAGTTATGAAAATGATTCTTCAATATTCTGCTTAGTGTTTCATCAAGGAAAGTACATTGAATTTTGAAAAAAAAATATATATATATATTCTTGAAATTTTATTATAAATAATTTTAAATTGATATGTTATTTATGTAGAAGTAATACATATTATAATTATATTTGTATGTATCCTACTTAAAAGTATATCCTCTGTGTTAGAATATTTTTTAGATTTTGTTTGAATATTTGGCATTGTAAGGATAAAATATATAACCGCTTTCACACTTTTTCCACTAATAATCTTTTATCTATGTACATGTCATGTCAGTGTGTGCATTTGCTTCATTTAATAACTTAAGAGGGTTAAATATATAGTCATAGTTTGGATTTACCTCAGGGGCAGGAGCTTCACTTGGATCTTCTTCAGTCTGAGCATTAATCATTGACTTCAGTGTCCCTTCCTCAAACTGATAACATAAAACAAATAAACAATCAACTTCACAGACATCACAAAGAAGACATATTTAAATATAACTGTTCTCACCTTTAGTCTGTTAAGCTGATCTTGCAGCATGACTTTTATCTTCAGAAGAGTCTCCTCTTCCTTCTTGAGTTCCTGAAGTCGACTCAACATAGTGGACAAGCGTTTCTACAGCATTACTGCAAATCACAAGAAAATCACCACAAACAAACATTCAGTGGTCTATATGAACTACAGACAGCGTTGAAATACATTGTAAGATGAAATCATAGCTGGAAAGTGTGTTCGTTTTTGCTGTTTGCTTCATGAGAGTACATGATGTTCTTCATCTCCTGTGGTTTACAGTCTGCTTTTGCTTTTCTTTTGAAATTACGCCGTCTTTTCATTAGTTTTCGAGCAAAAAGTATTATCCAGACGATTGACAGACAAATAAATTACTTATTTAAACAGTTATTTTATTCATATTTTCCAAGGTGCCCGAGCCTATAATAATTACTGTGTACAGACAGCTCATTTAGCAAGCATGCTAGCGGAAATAAATACAGTTACAAGCGATTTACTTTGCTTATCCTCACTCGTTTCTTTTTTTAGTCTCGTAGACCAAACGACGTGACTTACTTTATTGGTTCGACACGCTCTGCGGAACGTGCATGATTCCGATTAAAGTGTTTATTTGTTTTCTATTTAACTCCACAGTTGTAGCATTCTGAAGAACCAAGTCACGCGCACTCAAGCACGCATGCGCACAAAGTACGTGAAATACCCGCAGCTCCAAACCGCATAACTGCTTCTCAGACGTAAAGTCCTTTACTTACTGATCATATATATATATATATATATATATATATATATATATATATATATATATATATATATATATATATATATATTGACGACTCATAATCACATTATATATGTTTTTACATTTAGTTGCATCTCATAAATATTTCACATCATTGTTTTAGACAATTTTTATGAAGGACAAAACCTGCAAAAACAATAAATAAATAAATAGATACGCAAATATATAAATAAATGAGTAAATGAATCCATAAATTTATGCACAAATAAAATAATAAAGAAATAAATAGGCAAATAAATAGATTAATGTATTTAAAAAATCCACAAATGCCTGCATAAATATATAAATAATGAATAGTGCAGGCAGGTAAATAATTAAATAAATTACACGAATGTTTGGAGAATAGGATAATGCTATGTTGACCTGAGGAAAAGTAAATACGCTCAAGAAATGAATAAATGTTTGAAAGGGGGAAAAATAAACTTTTAGTGTAGCATTTTCTTACTCTCCAACATTTTTGTAATTTATTTAATCAATAGGTAAAATAAAATAACAAGAAAAAACTAATATTACAAATAATGCTAGGCATTGCTAACTCACAATAAATCAAATGTGTCAAATACACAGTTTTAACAGCTTTTTGTGCTCTCTTTAATGGTATTTATTTAAATATACCTAGCTCTTTAAGTTGCACTGAAAAATGAAGTTTCTGACTGCTAAATTTACAATGTGAAACTTAGAAAACATAATCAAAAGATCGATAACATAAGCTTCATTTTCCAACTTCATATCATAGTTTAAAAAATACATATTCATACAGTAAAAGAAAATTTGACAGCACTTTATCATTTATAAATTTAGATACCTTCCACCATAAACTTTTTGTATATTGACAATGGCAGGAAATATGAGGTTCTGTTTCTGGCTATAAAGAACAGAATAAACAGTTGACATCAATGTCTTCAATAAATCTGGTTAAAAATGTTTAACAGGGTAAAATTAGTGTAGTATTTTAAATAAGATTTCTTTGATTTTATTTAGATATTTATTAGGTACTACCCAAACTTTGCTCCAATCAATATTTTGAATAAAATAATATGGTTTACCAACCAGTTGTTTTTGCAATAGACATAGGTCATGTTTTTATTATTATTCTTTTTGCTAAATGAAAAACAAATTTAGCCACAGGAAGGATGAAGCAGGGAAAAGAAAACATGCACTCTTAGAGTATTAAATACCTCTACATAAAGAAACAATACTAGAAGAGATAGCTTCAAATACAAAGCCCTATGCTTTGGGGTTACAGGAAACTTAAAGAAATTCATCTTATGTCAATAGGTATCCTTCATTATTTAACAATTGCGTTACCAAAAATGTATAGGAGCATGAATATAATCTTGTGCTTACGTAGAATATTGCAATTATTCCATATTGGTGCGGGGTTGGGAGATCTCCTTTAACAGTTTGATGACCATGATGTAACTCTGAACGGAGAGCATTAGCGCCGTCATGTGGTCAAATCGAGGAAACGCGCCACCATTAAAGATGTGTCTTTTTGAAGACACATCAGAGTAATATTAAACAGTGATGTTTTCCAGTTTAAAAAAAGAATACGTTTTCCGTTTACATCTGTCCACCAATCACCTGCAGCGCTGTCCTCACCTGCACATGGAAATGTTTGAACTGGCAGGTGTCAACTTTACTACACTAGGTAGCCTAATTCATTGCAAATGTTGTTCATGTTAAGGGTCCAGCGCACAAAAACACTGCCATTAAGGCAAGACACTGCAGGCAAAAACAGTTCTTTCTTTCTTTCTTTCTTTCTTTCTTTCTTTCTTTCTTTCTTTATTGAGGTTTGGACTTGATGGCTTTATAAAGATTTTTTTTTTTGTTTAGTCTAATCTAAAGTATAACATCCAAATATATATTACATTTTTTAACACACTTTATCAAAGTGTGTCTGTAGATTTAAATTGAAATACATATTTATACACTTCAAAAAGCGATTGACTTGGCTTTAAAAGATAAGTAAACCTATTACCTTAAAATGAAGTAAATTAATGTGCATAATTATCAATGTACAAATAAATCTTACTGCCTAAATGTTTTGGTAAATCAACTGATTTTTTCTAGTCATCTCAACTTACATCAGTCAAACTGATTAAAGATATTAGGTTAAACTTTGTATTACTTAAAATAAATGTTGAAACAAAGATTAACTTATTACAATGAGTTAAAGGAATATAAAAGCTTTTGTTGTGATGGCTTTTATTATATTTAACAGTGCAAGTGCAGATTAACTCACCTTTTTAAAGTAACTAATCGCCTTTATGCAAAAGCAATCTTTTCAAATATATATATATATATATATATATATATATACACAATTCTAACACAATTTTGGCAGCACTCATACAACTTATATAACTTCATTTTGTTCATATCTGTATTCTGATGAATTTTATAGAGGGATATGTTCACACCTCCAACTTTTTATTTTATTAATTATGAAGGGATAAAAAGAGATTCCCTTAATCCCCTCTGTAAAAATTGAACATGACTTCATACAACGTTCAAATTTGTGTGCTAGAAATGTATGTGAATGATGAGCTAATAAATATAAATTAATTAAATAATGCATATTTAAACACAACGTTACAAAAAATGAGCAATAAATGTAATCAATAAATAGGGAAAGTATGATGATAACTAATAACTATTTCTTCACTATTCACCTTCAGTGTTTGCTTGAAAACCGAGCTGATTTTATCCTCTGATTTGTGTGTTTGTCAGAGCCTCTGGTGCCATTAGAGGGCATTGTTCTGTAATTCAGCTGCCTGATCTAATAAAACCTTCAGTGTCAGCTTGAAAGCAATGGATGCTCAGAAGGGCATCCAAGATTATTTCTCTGGAACATTATTTATTAGGACCGTTTTATGCATCACACACAAAACATATTATGCATTGTCCTTATGCATGTTCTGCATTAGAGGACTGGAATTACTTACAGGACTTAAAAGGAAAGCATGTGTGATATACACACACTGTCACTGTCTGCACGCCTTTTTCAGTGTGTTTTTTTTTCCTTTTGCAGGTTTTTCAGAAGGTTAAAGGCAACACATCGACCTGTTTTTCTTTTGCAAAAGAGTTTTTGCTCATGCCCAAACAATCCTGAACAAAAAAATGCTCATTTAAAGTAAACTTACATAAATCACAGATGGAACTCATTGATGTGAAGCACATCTAAAAGCTCTCTTAATCAGACTCTCAAAATGTTAGGAGAGCCCATTAGGTTCTTTTATAGGATTCCTTGACTAAACCCATCCAGATGTGGACACTGATACACAGCATGTGAGCTCCGCTGGACACTGTAGAGAAGCAGCCTGTCTCAAACATAGACCTGCGCCTTTCATGCTAAATAAATCATCAGAAAATATATATATTTGGTCTTGCAAATTATTTTTAGGATTTTGTATGTAACTTAATAACCTAACGGAAAATAAACATATAAAAAAAATAAAAATATTGATTAAAAAAAATATATATATATTAATACTGATTCATGCTTTAGAAAATGTTTAATGTAATAAATGATTTATTTTAAATGTACTGTATATGTGCACAATTGTCATATTGGGATTTTTTTTAAATATGTGTATACTTTTTTGTAATAAAATAGATATAAATAGATGCATTCCTGATACATGAGTCCCATCTCACACTCAATACACTACAATTACTACACTGTAAAAAAATTCCTGGTGCCTTAAATTTTTATGCTGAATCAAATTAACCTTATTGAACTTATATTATGTTAAACTGACTTAAAACGGCTTGCGTAACTTTTAAAATTAAGTTAACACGATTAACTTAGTTTAATAAGTTATAATGGCCTAAAAACATATGTTGTCAGGACTAATTGATTATATATTTTTGACAGTAAATGGTATAAATACAGCACTACAACATTCAAAAGAGAGACATCGACTTAGAAAGTGACTCACCACCAGTTTTATAATGATTTGATCAGCTGTAGTTAATTACTCTATGGACATATTATGCGGTCTTTGTCGCCATCTTGTGGATGGACTTTGCTCAGCTCAGTATGACAGGCTGATGGATGCCTACATCTCCAAAATTATAGATATTTAAAATAGGCACTATTCTTATAAATAAACTGAATTGTTGAAATCTAAACACATTCTACATTTTCTACTAAAAAAACTCAAAAGGCCATTATTTTGTCCAACAGCTGCAGTATTTGTCAAACTATAGTAAGTTTATTGATCTGCTGTAACTCTGTGTGGGCGGAGTAATACAGAAGGGTGAGAAGGCTGTATAAATTCTGATATTGCAGAATATCTCACAGTCATCAGCCAATCAGGTTCGAGAACCTGAGAGAAATTTTGTATAAATATATATATACAGTTGAAGTCAGATTTATAAGCCCCCCTTTGAATTATTTTTTTTTCTTTTTTAAATATTTCCCAAATGATGTTTAACAGAGCAAGGTCAGTTTCACTGTATGTCTGATCATATTTTTTCTTCTGGAAAAAAACTTATTTGTTTTATTTTGGCTATTAAAAGCAGTTTTAAATTTTTATAAACCATTTTAAGGTCAATAATATTAGCTTTAAGCTATTTTTTTTTTTTTGATAGTCTACAGAACAAACCATCGTTATACAATAAATGTCCTAATTACCCTAACCTGTATAGTTAACCTAATTAACCAAGTTAAGACTTTAAATGTCACTTTAAGCTGTATAGAGTGTCTTGAAAAATATCTAGTAAAATATTATTT